AAGTGTGTGTGTGTGTGTGTGTGTGTGTGTGTGTGTGTATGCGCTGTTCCTGGGACTTGAAGACTTGAACTCAGAGCCTGGGCACTGACCTCGAGCTTTTTGACTCAAGGCTGGCGCTCTACCACTTGAGTCACAGCTCCACTTCTGCTGTTTTTTTTTGGGTGGCTCATTGGAGATCAGACTTTCCTGCCCAGGCTGACCTCTAACCATGATCCTCAGATCTCAGTCTCCTGAGTAGCAGCGGGGATGACAGGCGTGGACCCCCCTACCCGGGGCTCAGAAAGGATTTGAATCATCTTTGAATCCTTCCCTCGTCTCCATCTTCCCTTTATTCTTCATATCTTGAATGAGTTTCAACTTTCTCATGAAGCCGATTTGATCACATCCCTACCTTTCTCGAATTTTCTACCAACTACGGGTTGCCTGGAGGAGCAAGTCAAAGTAAGAGTAGAGGGGAAAAGGAAATTCTTTAGTGCATCCGTCTATACCAAGCATTCTTTTTGTCTTTTAGCCACGTTGGAGCGTTGGGCTTCTGTGTTGGTGTCAGTGACCTTGACTCGACCTTGAATATCCTGGAGTCTTTTTATAGAATGATAGAAGAGCATAGATTTCCCTTTAAGACCTGGGTGCATGGACCACAGGCATCAGGGTTCAAAAGGGACTTCAACAGCTTTAAATGCTGACATTGGTTTCTCAAGGTTCAGGAGAAAATTTCCCCCACTTCCATGTAGCTTTTCAATATCATTCCCCCCCCCCGCCCCCCCCCCCCCGCCCTCCCTCCCGCCACCCGCGGCTCTGGCAGCAAATCCTGCTCCATTAACATCTCCCACAATTTACCAAAGAAATCACTAGCTCTCTTCTCCTCATTCTCCTCCCTGCCCCTCCATCGATGCAAATTTTACTTTATGTGCATGCCATCATTTTACTTTAAAATGATTAAATAACCCCCACTTGTCCAGCTGTCTTTTTACCTTGAGTTTTATTTAATTTTAACAACTTTGGCTGTCTTATGACCTTTGCAAAGACTTTAACGTACTCATACACGGAGCCTGGAAGAGAGAAAGGCATCAGCAAGTTTGGGAATGGAGAATTCTCCATCTGGCAAATTCTCAGGCTGAACAATGAGATGTTTTCTCATGTTACCTAGAGATTTTTTTTTTTTTAACTCAGGGCCTGGGCGCTGTCCCTGAGCTCTTTCACTCAAGGCTGGTGCTCTACCACTTGAGCCACAGCACCACTTCTGGTTTTCTGGTGGTTTGTTGGAGATAAGAGTCTCACAGACTTTCCTGCCCGGACTGGCCTTGAACCGCGATCCTCAGATCTCAGCCTCCTGAGTAGCTGGGGTGACAGGCGGGAGCCATTGGTGTCCGTCTCAAGCCGGTACTATTGTCAAGATTTTATTGGAGATTTTTTTCCCCTTATAAAACCCATGGCCCTATTCTGATGCTTCACCAAAAAGAAAAAGAAAAAAAGGCAAAGAACTCAGAGCCATTCCAGATCAAGTTTTCTAAAGAATATCAATATGCTGAAGGTAAAGAGGTTTAAAGACAGCAGACACTTCGAGACCTCTTGTAAGTGAGCCCCAGGCTTCATTGAATTTAATAGGTCATTATCTTCCCGTGAATAATTTATGAGAAGTTTCCCATCTTTTTTTTTTTTTTTTGGTTTTTCTTTGTTTAAACATTTGCCATCATGGGATAATGCAAGCTTTAGAGGAAAAAAAAATAATCATTGGACAATGACTAGAGTATGAGAAAATGATCAAAACTGGAGGTCAGTGCTAGAAACTGAACATCACACACACACACACACACACACACACACACACACACACACTCACACACACTCACACACACACACACTCACACACACACACACACACACACACACACACACACACACACACCCGACAAAAAAGCACTTCTGGTCTGTGAGCATGCCAAATTGCAATACTGAAGCGCAGGCCGGCCATTCAGAAAAGAACAAAGAAAGGTCCTTTTATGAAAGGAGAGCGTGTGTTAAAGATACGTACAGGAGCACAATGACTTGTGTGTGGACGTGCCCTTTCCCACGCCTGGTGTGAAGTCAGGGGTTCAAACACAGGCGAAACCTGTCCCCAGCACCTCCACACACCAACGCCGGACACAGATCACAGGTAGGTGATGGCTGAGGCCAGAGACTGAAACATCTACCTGTCGGCATCTAGCACTGTTCATCGGCTGAGACACAGAGACACAGAGACACAGAGAGACAGAGACAGAGACAGAGGAGACAGAGAGACACAGAGAGACAGACAGACACAGAGAGACAGACAGACACAGAGAGACAGAGACAGAGACAGAGACAGAGAGACAGAGACAGAGATAGGGAGACAGAGAGGGATCAGAATACTTTCTGCCTTCAAAGACTTTGAAAGTTCATTGCTAATACACACACACACACACACACACACACACGAAGAAACCAAGCAATCTGCAACAAAAAAGAGCAACGTTGGCAGGCTCCACTTGCTGCCATATTGCTCTCAACCGTCACTGGGGGTGAGACATTGGCCATTTGCCCATGACTTTAATTGTTTTTAATTTGTCGGTCGTAGGACTTGAACTCAGGGCCTGGGCGCTGTCCCTATGGTCTCCAGTTCAAGGCTGGCGCTCTACCACTTGAGCCACAGCGCCACTTTTGCCCATGACTTTATACACCAGTCTGTCTCTGTCTCTCTCTCCATCTGTCTCTCCATGTTTCTCTCTGTCTCTCTGTCTTTCTCTCCATCTGTTTCTCTCTGTCTCTGTCTCTCTGACTTCATCTGTGTCTCTGCCTTTCTCTGTCTCGATTCTTCTCTCCATCTGTTTCTCTCTCTGTTTCTTTTTCTGTCTTTCTCTCCATCTGTCTCTTGTTTCTGTCTCTCTCTGTCTCTCCACCTGTCTCTCTCTCTCTGTCTGGCTCTGACTCTCCCTCTTGCTTTTTCTCTGTTCCTCCACCCCCAAGGCCTGTCTCAGATTCCTTTTCCATACCCCACTGGTAGCGCAACTCCATCCGAGCGTAAAATGCAATTCTGGAAGCTGTCAAAGGCGATTTGGGAATTTGTCCAGGGGGGGGAAATGGGCAGCCACGTGGGTTAACACGGCCTTTGATCAAAAACCAGGCCTGGCCGTCGAATAATGTCGCCACGTTGATGATGATTTATTTGCCAGGGAAAGCAACTTCAATAGGCAATTTTCCAGAACGTGCTAAGGAGTGGCAACCTTCCTGAGGCAACTATCCACTTTCTAACTAGATGACTTTGAAGGCTAAGGAAATCATATTAACCTTATAACATGTATTTAAACATAAAGCCATCTTGAATGAGACTAACAGTTGTTGAAGAAGCTCATATGTTGGGAAATGAAGACTCGGTCTGCTATTATTTATGAGTACATCAATCTCTATGATTTTAAGCATGGGATAAAACAATAGAATATTAAGAAATGTTAGGTTAAAAGAACTTATGTACAGTGTATGTGTAAATATAAATCGTGTGTGTGTGTGTGTGTGTGTCTTTTTTCCCTTCCTGTCCTGGGTCTTGAACTCAGGGCCTGGGCGCTGTCCCTGGGCTTCTTTTGCTCAAGGCTGGCGCTCTACCACTTGAGCCACAGCACCACTTCTGGCTTTTTCTGTGTATCTGGGACTGAGGAATCGAACCCAGGGCCTCATGCATGCTAGGTGAGCGCTCTATCACTGAGCCACAGTCCCAGCCCCCCCAGCTTTGTTCTTGAAAGGACCAAGCCCTCTATCTTCAGCCATTTCCACCTTCTTAGAGCCGGCTGGTGATCCTTTTCTTGACAATTAACCGATGACACAAATCTAATTTTTCTCTTAGGATTCCCCCCACCCCATGCAATAGCGCATAAGCAGCCAGGCTCACACCTACAGCAACTCAGGAGGCTGAGATCTGAGGATCGAGGTTCAAAGCCAGCCTGGGCAGGAAAGTCTGTGAGACGCTGATCTCCCATGAACCACCAGAAAACCAGGAAGTAGCGCTGTGGCTCAAGTGGTAGAGCACCAGCCTTGAGTGACAGAGCTCAGGGATGGTCTAAGGCCCCAAGTTCAAGCCCCAGGACTGGCCAAAAATAAAATAGTGCATAATCTTACATCAGAGGACGGTGACAATCTTAAGACAAAAGCATGGGACTTCCTTGATCCGGACACGCGGCTTACTACGCGGATACTCTGGCTGACATGGGCAAGGCAGTGAGCTCCCCACTTACGACGTTCTTCACGTGCTTCACCAGGACGGTCAGCTTCGTGCCCTCATGCCACATCAGCAGCTGCACCCTGGGGGTCTTGTCTGACGGCTCCTGACCTGACGGAAACGGTGGAAAGTCCACAGAATCACTGGGGGGTCCCACACCACGGGGCTTTGCCAACGCCCAGGGCCTGAGACAGAGCGCGCGTGGGAGAGACGCTTCAGGCCCCGTGCAAATGCTGTCCCGCGCCACGGTCCTCCAGCAAGGCTCAATCATCCATGCAACGCGCCATGGTCCTCCAGCGAGGCTCAATCATCCATGCAACACGACACGTTCCTCCAGCGAGGCTCAATCATCCATGCAACGCGCCACGGTCCTCCAGCGTGGCTCAATCATCCATGCAACGCACCACGGTCCTCCAGCGTGGCTCAATCATCCATGCAACGTGCCACGGTCCTCCAGCGAGGCTCAATCATCCATGCAACGCACCACAGTCCTCCAGCGTGGCTCAATCATCCATGCAATGCGCCACGGTCCTCCAGCAAGGCTCAATCATCCATGCAACGCGCCACGGTCCTCCAGCGAGGCTCAATCATCCATGCAACGTGCCACAGTCCTCCAGCGTGGCTCAATCATCCATGCAACACGACACGTTCCTCCAGCGTGGCTCAATCATCCATGCAACGTGCCACGTTCCTCCAGCGTGGCTCAATCACCCATGCAACGCCCCACGGTCCTCCAGCGAGGCTCAATCATCCATGCAACACGACACATTCCTCCAGCGTGGCTCAATCATCCATGCAACGCGCCACGGTCCTCCAGCGAGGCTCAATCATCCATGCAACGCACCACGGTCCTCCAGCGAGGCTCAATCATCCATGCAACACGCCACGGTCCTCCAGCGTGGCTCAATCACCCATGCAATGCCCCACGGTCCTCCAGCGTGGCTCAATCATCCATGCAACGCGCCACGTTCCTCCAGCGTGGCTCAATCACCCATGCAGCCAGAGCTAGACATCCTAGCCATTCCTTTCATCCCACCACACTCCAATGGTTCGTGTGTGTGTGTGTGTGTGTGTGTGCCAGTTCTGAGGCTTGAACTCAGGCCTTGGGCTGTCCCTAAGCTTTTTTGCTCAGGGCTGGTGCTCTACTGCTTGAGCCACAGCTCCACTTCTGGCTTTTTCTGTGGTTAAATGGAGGTCACCTATCTATCTATCTATCTATCTATCTATCTATCTATCTATCTATCATCTATCTGTCTGTTTATCTCTCTATCTATCTATCATCTATCTCTTAACCTATCTTCCTATCTATCTATTTATCTATCTATCTATCTATCCATCATTTTTCTTTTTAAGTGTCTGTCATCTATCCATCTCTGTATCTCTGTATCTATCTATCTGTCTGTCTGTCTATCTCTCTATCTATGTATCTATCATCTATTAGTGAATTATGATGAATTTACTTACTTAGGTCCACAAGTGAAGATTCTTCAATTGTTTGTTGTACAGGCTCAGAGAGAAAAAAGCTAAGCACACAATCACTCTGAAAGACAAGACAACATGCATATTTATTCATTTCTTCTGTTTATTTGCTATTCTTATCGGCTGTCCCTTGAGAATATTGCTGTACACGTGTGCTTTTATTGTGCCAGTTCTTGGGCTTGAACTCAGGGCCTGGGCGTTGTCCCTGAGTTTTTTATTTTATTTTTTGCTCAAGGCTGGTGCTCTACCACGTGAGCCACGGCACCATTTCCGGTTTTCTGGTGGTTCATGGGAGATCAGAGTCTCACGGACTTTCCTGCCTGGGCTGGCCTTGAACCGTGATTCTCGGATCTCAGCCTCCTGAATCGCTGGGATGACAGGCAGGAGCTCCGGCCCCCAGCTCGTACGTGATTATTCTAGAAGTCTGTGAGAGCTTTTCACTCACCTGCTCACCAACCCTGAGCTTCTAATCATCCCCAGGTTGTCACACAACCTTTCCTCACTTGGTTGATCAGTGAGCTTTCAAGACTGAGGTTCATAGATAATGCAGGACTTCTGGCCGATCAATACTTGTCATCAAAAGACACAAGACCTGTCTTCAAATATTAATCACGTCCGTTACGAACGCAAATATTCTCATCCACCCAGTTATCTATCTCTACCTATCATCATAAATTAGCCAGGTATCAATTCTTTCTTTCCATAGGACGATCACTTCTAAGGTTGTTCAATATGACCCTGTTTTTGAGAAATCTATCCACATTCAGGAAAATGATCACCTCATGGTTTCCTTTTTGTTTGTTTGTTTTTTGGTGCCAGTCCTGGGCCTTGAACTCAGGGCCTGGGCGCTGTCCCTGAGCTTCTTTTGCTCAAGTGCTCTACCCCTTGAGCCACAGCGCCACCTCTGGCTTTTTCTGTATATGTGGTACTGAGGAATCGAACCCAGGGCTTCATGCATGCTAGGCGAGCACTCTACCACTGAGTCACCTGCCCAGCCCCTAACTGCTTTTAAATGAAACAAGCAAACCAACAAACCAACAACAGCTTTTCAGATAATGAAGAACCGCTGTGGAGGTGAACGGAACAGTTTTAAATTCAAGTCCTCATCAGTGGCTGTTTGGGGTTGCTTAACATTCTTATTCATATTTTGTTTACCAATTATATTAAATCATTTGTAATTTAAAACTATCGATCTTTTTTCTTTCTTTGCGAGTAGATCGATATAAAACCTAACTGGTTTTCCCCCAAATCATCTGAACGTATTCTGGTTACCAAAATAATTATAGAAAAAAAATTAAAGCCTTCATCCAGACTGGAATAAATGGAATACAATGCTGAGATTCATTTTTCTTTTCCCTCAAACAGCATCTAAAATGCTCCCATTTATTAACTGGCCCAGCCGACATTCAGAATGGGTGGAAAGATTCAGTTTTATGAGTTAAAACAATAAGCCAAATCTCTCTCCCTCCCTCCCTCCCTCCCTTCCTCCCTCCCTCCCTCCCTCCCTCTCTCTCTCTCTCTTTCTCTCTCAGACACCAGGAAAGGCTGTGAAAATGGGAATTTAAGAAACTCCCGTGAGACTTTTTAAATCACAGCTGAACAGTAATTGCGTGTTACTGCCTCCTTCATAAGGTAACTTATTAAGATGTCTGGCCCGAGGTGCTGTTCTGAGCACTGCATTCGAGTTAGAGTTCCACGCATGGACTCGAAGAAGAAAGCTGTCAGCTTCTAAAGAATCGTCTGTAACTCTGACTCTCCAGCGTCACCAGAACTTGACCAGACTGAGAAATACGCCTGGCATCACGGATTGCACACGCAAGACCTCGATTGCACACACAAGACCTCGATTGCACACGCAAGACCTCGATTGCACACGCAAGACCTCGATTGCACACGCAAGACCTCGATTGCACACGCAAGACCTGCTGGTGGTGCCATCCGAACTACGTAGGCTGCAGCTTACGAGAAGTAGAAATTCCTGACACAGGAAGGATTAACATCTGGGCAGAAATGCACTGACAAAGGATTAACATCTGGGCGCATCAAGCTGGAAACAAGAATCCCTATGCTCACTGTATTTGTGTGTGTGTGTGTGTGTGTGTGTGTGTGTGTGTGTGTGTGTGAGTCCTGGGGCTTGAACTCATGGCCTGGGCACTGTCCCTGAGTTTTTCACTCCAGCTGGTGCTCTACCACTTCAACCACACCTCCACTTCCGGCTTTTTGCTGCTTGATGGGAGATAAAGAGTCTTCACAGGTTTTCCTGCCCAGGCTGGCTGAGAACCACGATCCTCACATCTCAGTTGCCTAAGTAGCTGGGATTATAGGTGTGAGCCACAGTACCCCAGCACGTACTCCGTATTAAGATGGGATCTACTCATCTGGATTTATTCTAACACTGGATTTCTGCTTCAAAAGAAAAAAAAAAAAACCAAAAAGAAACACCAAACAGTGCTTACACCACCAGTGGTCTCATTCCTTACTTAACCAGACTTTTCAGGAGTGTGTAACAGTACTGAGACAGGCTAAAAAAAAATCCCAGTGAACACGGCTGAAAAAGTGTTAAGAGAAAACAAACACATCGGACTATTCGTGTATGTCAATCAACTTGAACGTGGTCCCATGTCGCTGTAACTTTTATAATAAGTGTGTAATATTCTTTATAAAGATTCCATTTAGTTCAGCTTACAGTTCTACCAAGGAGAGGTACAAGAGAGAAGTTGAAATCCAAGATCTCAGTTCAAAGCCAGCCAGGGCAGGAAAGTCTGGGAAATATTTTGATCTCCAATGAACCACCAAAAAGCCCGAAGTGGAGCTGTGGCTCAAGTGGTATAGCGCCAACCTCAAGCAATAAAAGCTCTGTGAGTTCAAGTCCCATGAACCGCCCTACAAAAAAGTTTAAGCAGCAAAAGGAACTGTCCAATTTCCCATTTGAGGTATATTTTCTCTTTTCTTTCTCCAATTTACCATCATCTTTTATTTATATTCTTGTCAGTACTGTGGCCACCTTATAAACTTGTTGAGGGTAAGATATATCCTGCATTGTCTTCATCTGTCTAATTTCTTCTCTGAAGCAAATTCGAAATTTTTCACCTGAAGTCACGTAGAACAAGAGCGTAATATAAATTAAAAAAAAAATCTTTGCAGAGTTATGTATGGTGAGATGGAATATTTTAAAATAGTTGCAGTAAATAAGTTTAGCATATATTGGAAACCTGAATTTGAATTTTAGCATTAAGGCATGATAATGTTATAGGTTGTACCTTCCTTCCTTCCTTCCTTCCTTCCTTCCTTCCTTCCTTCCTTCCTTCCTTCCTTCCTTCCTTCCTTCCTTCTTTCCTTCCTCCCTCCCTTCCTCCTTCTTTCCCTCCTTCCTTCCTTCCCTTTCCTCCTCTTCCTCCCTTCCCCCTTCTCTCTCTCTCTTTTTCTTTCTTTCTCTCTCTCTCTCTCTCCCTTTCTTTCTCTCTCCCTTTCTTTCTTTCTTTCTTTCTCTCTCTCTCTCCCTTTCCTTCCTTCCTTCTTTCTTTCTTCTTGCTTTCTTTTTTTTTTGTCGGTTGTGGGGCTTGAACTCTGGGCCTGGCCGCTGTCCCTCAGCTCTTCAGCTCAAGGCTGTTGCTCTACCACTTGAGCCACAGCTCCATTTCTGGTTTTCTGAGTGGTTCATTGGAGATCAGAGTTTCATGGACTTTCCTGCCCCGGCTGGCTTTGAACAGGGATCCTTAGATCTTAGCTTCCTGAGTAGCTAAGATGACAGGCGTGAGCCACCAGTGCTCGGCCTCTTTCTTTCTTTCCTCTTTCTCCCCAACTTTCCTCTCTTTCTTCCCCTTTGACCCAGAGGAATAAATACTATTAGAAACAGGTTGGTGGTTATTCAAGATATCCAAGTTATTCAAGATGTCCAGCCTCCTAGCTGGAATATTCTAGAAGATTCTGGAAGAGGGTCCCTTCCTGGTTCATTCTCATGGGCAATGGAACAGTGAATAGAACAGAAGATGATGGATTCCCCGGGCATGGGGGAGAGCCTTTGGCTTTGTGCATTCATGGTGTGTGTGTGTGTGTGTGTGTGTGTAAAACCACAATGGGGGCCGAATTAAGGGCCTAGAACATCTCTGCATTTCCCCCAGCCCCTTGTGAGCACTCTCGGTGGAAGCATCTAGCACCTGTCCAACACCCCTGCCGGGCCCCTGAGATACATACGTCGGCCACGGCCCTCGATCCGCCCGTTATTCCCTCCAGGTACCGGTTCAGGTCTCGGAATCTCTTGCGAGGCGAGCTCATGAAGGGTAAGTGCCACCAGTGTGGGAACCTGGCGGAGAGGGGAAATCGAGTCACGGCGTGGACATGCACCTCTGCGCCTCGGGAGCTGCTCACGGGCTGGTCTGCGGGACTGGGGTGGTGCGGGGTAGGCAAGCTGTCCGGAATCAAACCCCTGATTGCCTTGAACAGGACATTAATTTATACGTCCTTGAGGTTTGTTCTTTTCATCCATGTGGGGGCTGAATAAATAGTCCACAGTTTATTGGTTTTGGTCTCTCCCCCCTCCCCCCGCCCCAAGAAAGAGTTCAGATGATATGATTTCTTCCGGACTTGCACAGACATAAATGAGCTAATTAAATTAGGCCTATTTACCAAGTGACATCTGTTTCCCAGCTGGCCTCAGGCTGTTGGAAAACAAAGTCAGTAGCGCTTTCCTGACTCATAGACTTCGCTCTGCACTATTTGAAGCTGCATCTTGGGGGTGAGTTAGACTCAAGCAGGACCGGTTCCTAGAAGGGACATTTGTGACACATTTTGTTGCAAACAGCTATCTAGTTAGGAATCACCCCACGGAGTCCTCTGATTGCTGTCCTCCGGATCTCTGTCTCTCTGTCTCTGTCCGCTCTCTCTCTTTGTGCTGGTTGTGGGGCTTGAACTCAGGGCCTAGGCGCTGTCCCTGAGCTTCTTTGTGCTCAAGGCTGGTGCTCTACCACTTTGGCCTCCAGCGCCACTTCTGGTTTTCTGGTGGTTTACTGGAGATCAGAGTGTCATGGACTTTCCTGCCCAGGCTGGCTTTGAACCGCGATCCTCAGACCTCAGCCTCCTGAGTAGCTGGGATGACAGGCGTGAGCTACCGGCATCTAGGTGCACCCTCTCTTTTGTGAGATTTATGACTAAGTGGCTCTATTATCTCATTTATTGATTCTTGTTAGAAATATCAAGGAAGTGCAAAATGTTAATACATTTAGATCATTATCTTCTAATAAAAAAAGAGTTTATGGCAGATCAAAATATTAAATTCTAGGGGCTGGGCAGGTGGCTCAGCGGTAGAGTGCTCGCCTTGCATGCATGAAGCCCTGGGTTCAATTCCTCAGTACCACTACACAGAAAAAGCCAGAAGTGGAGCTGTGGTTCAAGTGGTAGAGCACCAGCCTTGAGCAAAAAGAAGCTCAGGGACAGCGCCCAGGCCCTGAGTTCAAGCCCCAGGACTAGCAAAAAACCCCTAAGTTCTAATTGACTAAACATTTGCATCTGGATTTAGTTATTATAAAATTAGTACCAATATCACGAGTCAAGAATGTATAGTCGGTTGCTGGTGGCTCCCGCCTGTCATCCCAGCTGCTCAGGAGGCTGAGTGAGATCTGAGGATCACAGTTCTAAGCCAGCCCAGGCAGGAAAGTGTGTGAGACTCTTGTCTCTAATGAACCACCAAAAAGCCACAAGTGGGACTGTGGCTCAAGTGGTAAAATACAAGCCTTAAGCAAAAGGCCCAGGCCCTGAGTTCAAACTTTAGGACCAGCACACAAACAAAATTTAATAGACATGTAACATATATCTCAAAAGGATAAGCTATGGTCTTATTAATATACATTTGCCCAGCTGGTCTTGAACAGTAGTCCTCCTATTTTAGCCTCTCAAGTGGCTGGAACTACAGGCATGAAAAACTATGCCTGGCTGGGTGTGGGTTGGTCACACCTATAATCTTAGCTACTCAGGAGGCTGAGATCTGAGGATCATGGTTCAAAGCCAGCCCAGGCAGGAAAGTCCATGAGCCTCTTATCTCCAATGAGCCACCAGAAAACCAGAAGTGGTGCTGTGGCTCAAGTGGTAGAGCCCCAGCCTTGAGCAAAACAAATTCAGGGACAGCGCCCAGGCCCTGAGTTCAAGCCCAAGGACTGACAAACAACAAAACGATGCCCGGCTCTAATACTAGTAATTTGGTTTGCCTCTTTCTGGTTCTCAGAGCACTTTTAGACCCTCGGATGATGTGAAGATTCTGGTTACTGGAATGAAGATGGAGGAGAGGAAGGAAGCTGCCCCTCTTTGAGCAGAACCATTTTTAAAAGCCCCTTCCGGAAGAGCTTCCAGAATTTGTAAAAGCCGGAAGAACTTCCTGCTCTGTGCAGGTCTGGGAAATATCCAGCAAGACAAAGAGGCGAATTGGAAGGCCGGGGCTCTGCACTGTGAAGAATTGCTGCGTGACTCTTCTTGACTGGCTTTCTGATCATAGTTAGCTTTTGCTTTTGCGTGTGTTTTTTCCCCCAGATGAGATTTATGAGATGGACTCCGGGTTTGCTGTCAGCAAACCCAGGAGTCAGCGGAAACTCGGCCCTCCTGGCTCATTTCTAGGCAGAGCTGTGAGCCTTGAACTCAGAGAAGGGTCAGACCCGAAGGCGTTCCCTTCCCCTCCCTCGATTTCTTCAAACAGCTTTTAACTATCCATGTCTGTCCCTGGCCAGAGAGTGGAACACAACCCGAATTAGTCTGGACCCTGAGAAGAAGGCTAGGGAGGGAGAGTGGCTGGTAATTTCATAATTCTGTACGTTACTTCACTAAGCAAATGGTGGAAGTCAAGAATGGATGGCCACTGATCAAGGATTAATGTGTGTGTGTGTGTGTGTGTGTGTGTGGACAGTCCTGGGACTTGAATTCAGGGCCTAGGCACTGTCCTGGAGCTGCGTTTGCTCAAGGCTAGCACTCTACCACATGAGCCACAGCTGCACTTCTGGATTCTTGGTTGTTCATTGGAGATGAGTCTCGTGGATTTTCCTGCCTGGGCTGGCTTTGAACCATGATCCTCAGACCTCAGCCTCCTGAGTAGCTGGGATGACAGGTGTGAGTTCTGGCACCAGCCACAAGTATTTATTTTTTACCTCCACTGAGATTCTGGTTAAATCATGGGACCTCTAAGAAGCTAGCCCAGGCAGGAAAGTCTGTGAGACTCTGATCTCCAATGAACCAGCAGAAAACCAGAAGTGGAGCTGTGGCCCAAGTGGTAGAGTGCCAGCCTTGAGTGAAAGAGCTCAGGGACAGTGCCCAGGCCCTGAGTTCAAGACCCAGGACTGGCACAAATATATATATATATTATATATATATATATATATATATATATATATAGTTATACTCAGCCTTCCTAAGGGCAATACCATAAATTTTGGGATAAGTTAATCTTTTTAAGATAAGACTCATTCTTTTGTTCTGTATTGAAATCCATTATCTAAACATAGCTCATTAAAAGCGAAAATTTTCAGGTTAGACGGACTGCTTATTTTCATTGTATTATAGCTTATTCCTTAAAATATTGTTTTCATTATTACATGAATGGTTGCAACGATTTCCCCCCCACCCCTGATTGCTCTCAAATGAACGCAATCACAAATTAAACGCAGCCAACTCAGTTTTTATAATGAACAATTAGAAAGCTAAAGATTGGTGGCCAGGAATATGGCGGTGGAAGAGAAAGCAACTGGCATTCATGTATTTGTTTTTAATTCTGGGACTGAAACGAAAAGTCTGCTACCATCCCAAAGAGCACGCGACTGGTTAAATCCTGCATGTTCGTTTGCAATTTTATCCTAATGGGAAATAATTTCAGGAGATTCAATTTTCGAACAAGTAAAACACAAGAACATGTCCAATAATGGGGGACAGCATGAAATGGGTCTCTATTTTCTTTTTCATTTTTTTTCCTTTTTCTTTTCTTGCCTGCCTAATCAATGGCTGAATGGGAAAAGAAAATTGCCAAACGTGTTTTGCTTTAAGAGCCAAAGCCTTCTTTCTGTTCAGAGCAGGATAGACTCTTGGGGACACACTGAACAGTGTTGACCATGGTGTTGCTACCACATAGGAGGGAAAACCCCCACCCAAACCCCTCCGCATAGCTGTTCCTTTGGTTCAAGGACAAGCATGAGAGACAAAACATCCTAAAAGTACAATGTCTTCAGGAAAAGAAAACAAAAAAGTACAGTATCTTACTCCGGGAGGGTTATTGATGGAAACTGCTTCTCAAGTTGGCTGTGAAGTTTCGATAACTGATCAAATGATTTTTCCGTCAGGTGGATTTCCTTGTCAGCATCAACCACTTGGATCAGATAAAGCTGGAGCAAAACAGGCAGGAAAAAAAAGAAATCAAAATCAAAATCGAAAGATGGCCGTGGAGCCGGGTGCTGGTGGCTCCCGCCTGTCATCCCAGTGACTCAGGAGGCTGAGATCTGAGGATCACGGTTCAAAGCCAGCCCTGGGCAGGAAAGTACTATCTCTCATGAACCAGCAGAAAACCAGAAATGGAGCTGTGGCTCAAGGGGTAGAGCGCCAGCCTTGAGTAAAGAGCTCAGGTCCAGGCACAGAGTTCAAGTCTCACAATTGGAAAAAAAAGATGGCACCTGTAATCCATTTCTTTTTCATGTGTGTGCCAGTCCTGGGACTTGAACTCAGGGCCTGGGAACTGTCCCTGAGCTTCTTTTTGCCCAAGGCTGGCACTCTGCTACTTGAACTCAGGGCCTGGGAACTGTCCCTGAGCTTCTTTTTGCTCAAGGCTGGCGCTCTGCTACTTGAACTCAGGGCCTGGGAACTGTCCCTGAGCTTCTTTTTGCTCAAGGCTGGCGCTCTGCTACTTGAGTCACAGGTTCACTTCTGGCTTTTTCTGTGTATGTGGTGCTGAGGAATGGAACCCAGGTCTTCATGCATGCTAGGCGAGCACTCTACCACGGAGCCACCTGCCCAACCCAAAGCTGAGACATCCTGATCTCCAGTTAGCTAGCAAAAAGCAGAAGTGGAAGTGTGGCTCATGTGGAAGAGCATTATCCTTAGGCAAAACAAAAACAAACAAACAAAAACCTCTAAGCTAGACTACGAGGCCCTGGGTTCTGATCTCAGCCATCTGAGCAGCTGCTGGGACTTGAACTCAGGGCCTGGGCGCTGTCCCTGAGCTCTTCAGCTCAAGGCTGGTGCTCTACCACTTGAGCCACAGCACCACTTCCAGTTTTCTGAGTGGTTCATTGGAGATCAGAGTCTCATGGATTTTCCTGCCCGGTCTGGGCTCGAACCATGATCCTCAGATCTCAGCCTCCTGAGTAGCTGGGATGGCCGGCGTGAGCCCCCAGCGGTATTCAGCTGAAAGCATCAATTTGTGACTCAGTTTTCATTTGCTCAGTGAAGAATCCGGGGAAGGGAAAAGACAGGCTGGGGTACACGAAGGATGCGCTTGCGGCCTACATGGTGGGGGTGAGTCTTGCTGAACCCCAAAATTGTTGCTTGCTGAATCATCCGGGCGGTCTTTGGCACCCAGGATTCCCGGGGCGACCTGTGTGGGGTTGATTTGCTGGGGTGGACGGCTGCCATTTGTGCAAGAATGTGGATCAAGTTATTCAGCTTCACCGGGAAGCAGTCCAGGCTCTCCTTTATCTTCCTGGAGACACGAGACACAAAAGGAAAAGAAAACAGAGAAACAACCGCCGCAAGTCAGATCCCCTGGCGACAACGAGGCTTGTGTGCAATTTGTGTCCTTGTGCTGGCTAGGTAGATGTGTGTGTGTGTGTGTGTGTGTGTGTGTGTGTGTGTATGTCAGTCCTGGAGCTTGAACTCAGGACCTGGGCGCTGTCCCTGAGCTCTTTCACTCAAGGCTGGCGCTCTACCACTTGAGCCAGAGCTCCACTTCTGGTTTGCTGGTGGTTCCTTGGAGATCAGAGTCTCACCGACTTTCCTGCCTGGACTGGCTTTGAACCGTGATCCTCAGATCTCAGCCTCCCTGAGTAGCTGGGATGACAGGCGTGGGCACCAGCTCCTGGCTCCTTTCATTCCTCTCTAGTCTCTCAGCACTTTCTGTTCAGGGTGGGACTTTTCTATAGATCAGAGCTCTGGTTTCCTTCAACAGTTCCTAGATGGCTCTGGAACTTTCTAAGACTTGAGACAGAACCTTTTGCCCTTCCCTGCAAACTGAGGTCTGCAGAAATCTACTCTAGTGTCAGCTACTTTCTTCAATTGGTCTGATTTGCTCCATTCCTAAAGCTCACCTGTGAGATTTTTGCTTGTTTTTTTAACTTGAGTTTTCCTTGTGTTCTAGATTTTCTCCTTACACAAATTCAATGTTAACTATTTTTTTTTTTTTTTTTTTGCCAGTCCTGGGGCTTGAACTCTCTGGGTTTCCTTTGCTCAAGGCTGGCGCTCTACCACTTGAGCCACAGCGCCACTTCTGGCTTTTTCTGTGTGTGAAAGAAACGATGAAGGTCTTGGCTGGTTTCTAAGTTGGGGTTTCCGGGCCTTCAGAATTCACACGAGGAAGCTGCTGACTCTCCACCTATGTACTGCAGGTCTTTAACTGTGTGGGGACAAAAATTCGCAGCTCTGTGGCCCTCACTGCATTTTCTAATGGAAATACCTTGAAAACATTAGTCCTAGCCGGGCGCCGGTGGCTCACGCCTGTCATCCCAGCTACTCAGGAGGCTGAGATCAGAGGATCAAGGTTCAACGTCAGCCCAGGCATGACAGAATCTTGAGACATTTATCTCCAGCCTGGAGACATGGTTCAAGCAGTAGAGCACCAGCCTTGAGCAAAAAAGCTAAGCAAGAGCGTGAAGCCCTGAGTTCAAGTTCCAGTACTGACAAACACACATGCATGTGTGCACGCACACACACATCTTAATGTGAACAACAGAAAAATCAACCATCTTATAATAATTAGAGCTATTGAAGAAGTGGCGCTGTGGCTCAAGCGGTAGAGAGCTAGCCTTGAGCAAAAGAAGCTCAGGGACTAGCGCCCAGGCCCTGAGTTCAAGCCCCAGGCCCAGCACCCACCCAGAACATTAATCATTAAGGCTATTGAGACACGAACATGTATTTCAAAATAGCCAGGCACGTTAGCTTAAGTCACCATACCGTAGCAATGGTACGCACTGCATAGATCAGAAAGAGCCAAAGCGCATGCCCAGATTTGTCCCGTAGCTAGAAGCAGACCAGACTCAGAGACGCGTGGGTGATTCATCTTTTAGCCAATGAGTGTTGGAATTCTTGATAGGTCCATTAAACTTTGCAAATGCTTTTAACCTTTAGACTGATAGCATCCCAAAGTACTCTATATGGCTTCATATTGCTTCATATTCTGCCTTGATATTTAGGCCAAATGAAGCAGCTCGGAAACTTTGGTAATTCAGAACCAGATTCTTGCATGGTAGAAATGCAGAACAGCTAGCCAGCTATTAAGCAACATAATGAGAACTACAAAGAGGGCTGGGCAGGTGGCTCAGGGGTAGAGCGCTCGCCTCGCATGCATGAGGCCCTGGGTTCGATTCCTCAGCACCACACACACAGAAAAATCCAGAAGTGGCGCTGTGGCTCAAGCAGTAGAGCACCAGCCTTGAGCAAAAGAAGCTCAGGGACAGCGCCTAGGCCCTGTCAGCCCCGCAGCCACCAGAACTGAATGACAGACAGACACCAGTGGCTCACGCCTGTAATCAAGCTACTCTTGAGGCTGTGGATCAGAAGATCAAAACGTCCTGGAGACTCCATCTCCAACTGGTTAGCAAAAAGCAGGACTGGAGCCATGGTTTTGGAGGCAGAGCACTGGCTGAGCAAGCAAGCGGAAAGGACTGGCAGCTTTAAGTTCAAACCCCAGCGACCAGCAACAGAGCAACAGGATAAAATGAATGATGACGAGGGAAAATCGCCCAGAAATGACACTCTACGTCCTCAAGCAGAAAAGGTCGAAGGTATCTTGTACTGACTGTCACCTGCATCCGGACAGTGGTGATATTTCCCCAGACTTACTTAATTTAAAAAAAAAGAAAGCAACAAACAGAAAAAGAGGTTAGAAGAAGAAAAAGCTCCGGGTCGCTGACCGCATGGCCGACTGTCTGCATTGTCTTTCGGAAGGAAGCAGGGAATGCATCATTTTCCCATCATAAATCTCTTTCCTCCAAATTGTTTTTCTGGATAGAGTTCAAGTGCAACAACTGATTTATTTTTATTTATGTATTTATTTTTGTCAGCTCTTTGCTCATTCCGATGGCCTTGAGCTGAGCAATCTGCTAGATGGAAAAAGCTGTTGAACCAACAAAAGCCCTGCTATGAAAAAAAAAAACAAAGCAAAAAACATGCACAGAATCTGTCTGCAACACCAGGGCGTGACCTCTGGAAATGAAGACACCACTGACCACCAAGCAGGGCAGCTTCCTCCCAGGGAACTGGGCAGCCCGAGCCTGCCTCATAGGCTAGACTGTGTACCAGCTCACGTGCGCATACCTGTAGTCCCGGCCCACGGTTGACCTTACCTGGTAAAGTGACTGGTGGCTTCCAGGTCGGAGTCTTGAGGGCGGAGATTATCATAGACGTATTTCAGGTCTTCAGGTCCTCTGAGCTCAGGTAATCCCGCATGTAACATCTGATCCCAAACAGAAAACGAAGCATCGATAAACACCAGTGGAAATCAAATTCACCCGGTTCATTCGGCCGACAGATGAATAAATCCTGAGGTTTATGGACGTTTGTGGATGTGAGAGAAAGTTCCTGCTTCCAAATGGCTCCAATTTCAGAGGTAGGTAGAGGCAAACCACAGGTATCAAAAGGAACCAGGGGTCGGCGGCTCCCGCCTGTCATCCCAGCTAGTCCAGAGGCTGAGATCTGAGGATCATGGTCGGAGGCCAGCCTGGGCAGGAAAGCCTGTGAGACGCTGATCTCCAAGGAACTACCAGAAAAAGTGGCGCTGTGGCTCAAGTGGTAGAGCACCAGCTTTGAGTGAAAGAGCTCAGGGACAGTGCCCAGGCCCTGAGTTCAAGACCCAGGACAAAAAAAGAACCACAAGAGGAAAAAGCCAACACACAACACACACACACACACACACACACACACACACACACACACACACACTGTAACCGGCAAAATGTTTGCACGCCAAACAACTGCATTTTATTCTCAGCAGTCTGAGGAACGAGCAGGGCCTGAAATTCCATTCCCAGGCTAGTTTTCCCAGCTCTACCCAGGAAAATCCCAGGGATTTCGGGGAAACCTTTCAGATCTTCACGTCTCAAAGCAGAGCAGGCTGGCGCCAGGCATCTTGGGAAGATCAGATGGGCTTTATGTGCCGCGCGCTGTGACCCCTCCCCCAAATATACATGCCATTCATCTGGAATGACAAACTAACTCTCCAGCACACCGCGCACAAGATGCAGGTATACCATGGGGTGCAGGGAAAGAATACAAAGCTCATTCTTCTTCTTCTTCGTCCTGTGTCCTTCAGAAGAAGAGTTCAATGCCTTCCTTCCTTCCCCCCGCCCCACATCGGGCAGTGAGTATTATTATTATTATTATTGTTGTTGTTGTTGGTCGTGGTGCTTGAACTCAAGGCCTGGGTGCTATCCCTGAGCTCTTCAGCTCCAGGCTGGTGCTCTACTGCTTGAGCCACAGCGCCACTTCTGGTTTTCTGGTGGTTCATTGGAGATCAGAGTCTCACAGACCTTCCTGCCCGAGCTGGCTTTGAACTGCGATCCTTAGATCTCAGCCTCCTGAGTAGCTAGGATGACAAGCGTGAGGCACTGATACCCGGCCTCGGGTAGTGATTATTAAAGCAACAAAACCATCAAGGCTATAATCGTACTGTGAATTCTCTGCCCATCTCCAGGAAGACATCTTAGTCATACTCGAAAGGGAAGGGATGCTGTTCTCTTTGGTGGTGGATGGAATTCTTTGTGGGAGAGAAAAATAAATCAAGAAATAATGGATTCTTCTAGAAACAAAATTTGAGGCCAGGCACTGGTGGCTCATGCCTGTCATCCCAGCTACTCAGGAGGCTGAGATCTAGAGGACCACAGTTGGAGGCCAGTCCGGGCAGGAAAGTCCGTGAGACTCTAAACCTTCAACAAACCATCAAAAAGCCAGACACGGAGCTGTGGCTCGAATGGTAGCGCGCTAGGTTTGAGAGAGAATACTCAGGCTCTGAGTTCAAGCCCCAGGACTGGCATAATAAATACATACATACATACAGGCATAAATATGAATATATATGTATCTATAAATGAAAAATTATATTCTAAAGGCAAGAGAAAGCTCCTAATTTTGTTTCCCCAGACTTCTACCTGTGTTGTTTCTCCTTGGATGGCCAAATCTATTTTGATAGTGATGAGGAAGGATTTATTATTATTATTTTTTAATCATGTAGAGAAATTAGAAAGAAGTCCCGCAGAGAACACACAATGCAATAATGGCAGTGATAATCATTTCCAGCAAAGCCAATGATCCCTGTGTGCTCCGTGAGTAGAGATGGATTATTATTATTATTATTGTATTTTAATACAAGAAAACCTGAAGAAGTGTAGTGTTTTATATGAGCGGCCTCAGCCACCAGACTTACTCTTGGGAAAGATGGGAAATCCAGAGATAATTTTTCCCAGGAGGAAATAATAATAATAAAAAATAACAAGAAGCCATCACCACCTATATCTGGGAATAGGGTGTTTTCTTCTGACGAAGAGCCGTTTGCTCAGACAAGAATCCAGGGCAGATGCTGCCAAATGGGGGAGAGGGAGGGCGGGAGAGGGTCCCACAAAATAAAAAAGAGGGAGGGAAAAGAGAGAGGGCGTAGGTAGGGAAGGGAGGACCACGGGACAAGGATATCGGGAGGATCGTGGATCAAGATGCATTGTATTTATAATCTGCTTGGTTCAAGGGCAACTCCCTTGTACATCAACTTAAAGCTAATAATAATAATCATTCTGTTAATAATAATAATAATAAAGATCTCCCTAATGACTGCGATTCATAATCAACAATACAGACGGTTCACAGATGATAGAAACGGCCACTCACAGATAATTGCTCTTAGCTGGTAAGTCAATTCTTGAGTAGTAGTCGATCGAGGTAGCGTTAACACACAGGAGAATCCGTATTTCCCCTTCGTTTAGGACTCAGAGTTGGTTCGATTAGAATACACCCAGATATCTGATGTATTCTATGCCAGCGACTTCAAAACAGCTAAGCTTTAGTAGTTGTGAGATCTATTGTCATCATGGTGGTTAAAATACCATGAGGTCCACTTCATTTAAATGAACTAATATCCCCCAACTCTTTACCTGAGTGTTGGCTTAATCTACCATAAATTGTACGTTGAATCTTTTCTTAATGCCAGGTAGAAAATATATTAAACAGAAAAAAATAACATTCTGAATTCTTCTCGACAAGCTGACTTAAAAAAATTTTCCTTTAGCTTGCTCAATTATTGTGCAGCTCAATTTTATTGTCATCCTAGAGACAATATTTGTACTTTTCTGCTTTAGGTTTTATTTTTTTTTAAATTTCTATAGCTAGTGGAGGGGGTGTTTAAAATTTGGAACTATGTCTTTGATGCATTTTTTTTAACATAGCTATTTAGAAATATTACTTGAAGGCACCAATTTCATCGTCTTTATTAAGTGGAAAAAAATTTAAAGACTATGTCTTAAAAGTGGATGTGTAATCTACAATTTCTGGCATATCGTGAGCACCACTAGGCTTATGGATCTTTCTAGATCTTTCTGGAATCTAGCCAGACATGCTTACTTCTGACCTCAGAAGTCAGAGGTCAGAGTCAATGCTACTTGGATTATTTATTATTTGGAGAGAGGAGAGAGTTGGATGGTGGACTTGGTCCTTTTGAAGACTTTTCTTTGTGGCCATTATAAACCACAAAGCATTAAATTCCACATATCTGCATTATGAACAGATAGAACGGAGAATCTGGCAAAATTCAACATAAGGTTGGCAGATGATGTATGAACGAGACTGTGTAAAGGCATTTGTGCAAAATTCTCACGCACAATACAACTGAAGGCATTCTTCCTTTTTTATTTTTTGTCAGTCCTGGGACTTGAACTCTGGGCCTCGGCGCTGTCCCTGAGCTCTTTTGCTCAAGGCTGGTGCTCTACCACTTGAGCCGCAGCTCCACTTTTTCTGGTGGTTCATTGGAGATCAGAGTCTCACAGACTTTCCTATGTATGTTCGTTGCTTTAGATCTGTGTGTGTGTGTGTGTGTGTGTGTGTGTGTGTGTGTCTGTGTGTGTGTAGGGGGGTGGACGGGGAACTCCAAGCCCTCAGCAAAAATGGACTGGTGAGAGAGAGACACCCACAGAACTCATTTTTGTGCCACCTTACCATTTCTAGAAGGTTCAGGAGCAGTCGGCTGTGCCTTCGGACAATATTGTACGCCCTGCAGCAGAGCTCCACAAACTCTTGGAAGTGCTGTGGGTTTTTCCCGCCCTCTGTGATGAAGTACTCCATCTCCGAAGTAAAGATGAATGGAGCCCGGTCCCTGGAAACGAGAGAGAAAGGCAATCAGGAACTAGAGAGTGCTCAAATGGCTGGAGAGACCATAATGGGCAGAGAGGACCCTAACACAACGGAGAAGGTTACGTTAGGTGCTACTGCGTCCATCCACAGGGCATCAACTTTTTAATTCTTTCTTGTTGGATGTGGGACTTGAACTAAGGGCCTGGGCGCTGTCCCTGAGCTCTTTCACTCAAGGCTGGCACTTTGCCCCTTGAGCCACAGCACCACTTCCGGTTTTCTGGTGGTTCAGGGGAGATCAGAGTCTCATGGACTTTCCTGTCCGGGCTGGCTTTGAACTACCATCCTCCGATCTCAGCCTCCCTGAGTACCTGGGATGACAGGTGTGAGCCACCGGCGCCCGTTTGGTCTTGCCTATGTATCCGAGAGGAATAGTAATGTGTGTTCGCTCAAACCATCCTTGAATTACTCATTGCAGCTGAATGGCCAAGGCCTCAAAAACCTGGAGGAGTGGAGTAATGGCTCGAGTGGTAGAGCACCAGCCTTGAGAAAAAAAAAGGCTCAGGAACAGTGCCCAGGCCCCCAGTTCAAGCCCCATGACTGAAAAAACAAAACAAAAGAACTCAAAAAACAGGCCAATCCAACAGTGGTAGGTCATGTCATGAAATCTTATTTGTCCCTAGAAAGGCCTAGATTTGATTGGAAAATGCCACAGCGTGGATGAACACGCTGTCAGAGAAAAATATCAATCTCCACACAGTCCATGGGGATGTAATTCCACGCTTAGATGATTCTAGAAATCACAGTGTTGGAGGAATGGAGGGCAGGAGAGAGGAGCAGATACGACTTGGTAGAGATACAACTTGGCTTTATCCTGCTTGTGATCCTTAGCATATAATTCCCTAAATTCAATCCTATAAATTCTGTAAAAATAATACGGCTCTCTAAATTCCAGAAATTAACAGGGAGTTCTAGAAATTCTGTCAAAATGCTATACATTAATTCTCTAATGTAATTCTATACATTCCAGAAATAAAGTCTATAAATTCTATACATTATCAGCTGGGAATACCAGGTCTCTCGGTATTATTTCTTTTCCATGTGAATCTACAATTACCTCTGAAGATGTTCATAATTTTTTTTTCCTATGAGTTAGCTAGATAGAGACTTTGGCTGAAGTCTTGGCTTAAAGTTTGATGGACAGTGGAGGGACACCAGGAAGGACTAACATGAATCTTGAAGAGTTGAGCATTCAATGGCTTGAGAGAAGAAAATCGCCCCAAATTGGCTATTAGAAAGTGGTGTGGGCAGGTGCTGGTGGCTCACGCCTGTCATTCCAGCTACTCAAGAGGCTGAGAGCTGAGGATCATGGTTCAAAGCCAGCCCAAGCAGGAAAGTCTGTGGGACTCTGATCTCCAATGAACCACCAGAAAATCAGAAGTGACGCTGTGGTTCAAGTGGTAGAGCACCAGCCTTGAGTGAAAGAGCTCAGGGACAGCGCCCAGGCCCTGAGTTCAAGACCTATGATGAACAAAAAAGAAAATAAAAAAGAAAGAGGTATTGAAATAATTATGGAATGAATAAAGAGGTCAGGAAATGGAGAGTCAAGTATATATATGTATATGTATATGTACACGTACATGTATATGTATGTGTACAGGTATATGTATATGTATATGTATATGTATATGTATATGTATATGTATATGTATATGTATTTTCTCCCCCTAGAAATTGAGCAAGAGACTAAGCAAGACTCTATGAACATTAATTTTTCTTCCTTTCACAAAGTGACTGATCAAGTCTGCACACTTAAGGACAAGGATTGAAAGATTGGAGAGTGTGGGTGGTAGATTTTGTACCCTGAATTTCAATGTGGGACTCACTAATCAGGCACACTTATTATTATTGTTGTTTTTATTTTATTATTATTATTATTATTTTGTTGGTCATGGCACTTGAACTCAGGGCCTGGGCGCTGTCCCTCAGCTCTTCCGCTCAAGGCTGGTGCTCTACCGCTTGAGCCACAGCACCACTTGCGGTTTTCTGGTGGTTTAGTGGAGTTAAGAGTTTCCAGCCTTTCCTGCCTAGGCTGGCTTTGAACCATGATCCTCAGATCTCAGCTTCCTGAGTAGTTGGGATAACAGGCGGGAGCCACCGGCGCCTGACTGTTGTTGTTATTATTATTACTGAAATTGATTTCAACTTATTATTATTATTATTATTCTTGAAATTTATTTGCATAAAGTGGTTGCATTTCAGATTCTTACTCTTAGTCTTGAAATTTATTTGCAGCAGACAGATGCATTTCAAGTAATTATTACTCTTGAAATTTATTTGCACCAGGTGGATGCATTTCAGATTATTAGTCTTCTTGAAATTTATTTGCATCAGGTGCGTGCATTTCAAATGATTATTCTTGAACTGTATTTACACGAGACGGATGCATTTCAGATGATTACTAATTGTTATTAGTCTTGAAATTTCTCTGCATCAGGTGCGTGCATTTCAGATAATTATTATTCTTAAAATGTATTTGCATGAGACAGGTACATTTCAGATGATTACTAATTGTTATTAGTCTTGAAATTTCTCTGCATCAGGTGCGTGCATTTCAGATGATCCCTATTATTGGCATCAGACGGATGCCTTGCAAGCGGAACGTGGTGCCAACGTGGCGGGAAGCTGGGCTGTCTGCAAGGCTTCTGGGAGTCGGAGGCGTGTCTGGGGGCCCTGGGGGTGTGGCGATTGACAGGAGACACCCCGTGGGGCGAGCTGGGGGCCCAGCTCGCTCTTCCTGCGGCTGCCAGGGGCGACCTACCCTGGGGAGAGCCACGGTGTGCCGCGCAGCACCATCAAACCCGGTCTCCTGACTCATCACCCCCGAGTGAATTGGGAAGGAGCCTCTGTGGTCCTGGGGCAGCTCAGGAGATGCAGGCGAGCAGCCTTCAGCCCCCCAGGGGGACCCCAGCCTCTCAAGCTGAGCCTCCCCGATCAGGCCTTCCATGGAAGACAGCCTCCCCCTCCTCCTCCTCCTCCTCTTCAACCTCCTCCCCCCTCCCCCCTCCTCCTCTCCTCCTCCCCCTCCCCCTCCCCCTCCTCCTCTTCTCCTCCTCCCCCTCCTCCTCTTCTCCTCCTCCCCCTCCTCCTCCCCCTCCTCCTCCCCCTCCTCCTCTTCTCCTCCTCCTCCTCCCCCCTCCTCCTCCTCCCCTCCTCTTCCTCCCTCTCCTCCCCTCCCCTCCTCCTCTCTTTGTATCACTATGATTATGATTGTTATTGTTATTATTATTTTTAACTTGAAAATGCTAAACACAGAGGAGTTCCAGTTTCATAAGGCAGGCACAGAGTATAGAGCTCTTTCACTCGAGGCTGGTGCTCTACCCCTTGAGCCACAGCTCCACTTCCGGTTTTCTGGTGGTTCATGGGAGATCAGAATCTCACAGACTTTCCTTACCCGGGCTGGCCTTGAACCGTGATCCTCAGATCTCAGCCTCCTGAGCAGCTGGGATGACAGGCGGGAGCCACGGGCCTGGTTTTTGTGTAGGAGTGAGGCCGGCTTCTTCGGGACGTGGCATGCTGGGTGTGAGAAGCACTTGTGCACTGACCTTTTGACCCCCCCGAAGGTCTGAGCGTGACCCAGGATCTTCCCGAAATCGATGTGGAACAGGTGGCCGGCGGAGGTGAGCATGACGTTGTCATTGTGCCGGTCACAAATGCCCAGGAGGAAGGTCACCACGCACCAGCCGGCGCAGGACAGGAGGAAGTTCTTCAAGGCCTGGGCGAGAGGGCCCAGAAACACAGCCATCAAACAAAAGCAGGAGAAAACCACAGAGCAGGACACACCCGAGAGACCCAGGCTCACACGGCTCTGTTCTGGAGGCTGAGGCCTAGAGGAGCCGGATTGGAGGCTCAACTCTAATCTCCGTCCAATTAGCCGGCCCGAGGCTAGCAGGGAAGGCACCGCTGTGCGCAGTGACTGAGACAGTGAAGCTGAAGGGACATGAGTTCGAGTCCCGAGGGGCAGACAATGACAGGAGGCCCTAGGGAACTGAGCTCAGGGCCGGCCTTGCTGGGCAGGCAGGTGCCCCAGCCTCCTTTATCTGCCTTCGTGTTTGGCTTGGGGTGGGGCCGGCCTGTGCTCCTTGACCGGGTGAGGCCTGGCGTGGTCCGGCTGTCTGTCCTCCCTGGGCCTCTGTCCAGGTGTGTTTAGAACTCAGGATGGAGTCCGGGTGCTGAAACTCATTCCCCCCCCCCCCCCTGCACCCACCTTCTGGTAGTCGGCCCTGGCACGGTGGTGCTGCTCGAACCTGCTGGAGGGAGCTGGCCTTCAGCGGCCCCAGGAGCCCCGCCTGGCGGTGGATGCTGGCCAGGGTCACGGCCTCGGGGACCAGCTGCACCAGCCCTGGGGGGGAGGGGGAAAGGGGAAGGAGGGAGGGTGGAGGGGGTGGGGGGAGGAGGGAGGGGGGAGGAGGGAGGGGGAAAGGAGGGAGGGAGGAGGAGAGGGGGGGAGGGGAGGGGGGAGAGGAGGGAAGAGGGAGAGGAGGGTGGGGGAGGAGGGAGGAGGGAGGGGGAGAGGAGGGAGGGGGAGAGGAGGGAGGGGGGAGAGGAGGGAGGAGGTGAGGGGAGAGCGAGGGAGGAGGGAGAGGGAGAGGAGGGAGAGGGAGGGGGAGAGGAGGGAGGAGGAAGAGGGAGAGGAGGGGAGGAGGGAGGGGGAGAGGAGGGAGGGGAGAGGAGGGAGGAGGAAGGAGGGAGGGGGAGGAGGGGGGGGAGGAGGGGGGGGAGGGTGGGGGGAGAGGAGGGGGAGGGGGAGAGGAGGGAGGGGAGAGAGGAGGAGGGGAGAGGAGGGAGGGGAGAGAGGAGGGAGGAGGGAGGGGGAGAGGAGGGAGAGGGAAGGAGGAGAGGAGGGTGAGGGCGGCGCGGAGGGAGGGTAGAGGAGGGCTGAGGAAGGGCGGGAGGGGGGTCGAGGAGGGAGGGGGAGAGGAGGGTTGGGGGAGGATGGCGGTGAGCGAGAAAGGGTACGAGCGGAGGGACCGCAGGGAGGGGGAGGGGAGGAGGAAGGGAGGAGAGAGGTAGAGCAGAGTTCCTTTCCCACAGGGATGCTCGCTTAGGGTCCCAGTGACCCAATAATCATTATTGATTATTATTGATCATTGGTCATTATTGACCATTATCTCCTTTCTAAACCTTTCCTGCAGAAGACTTTGCTAGACTAGCTCTTCTAACACTCTCTAAATCCTGCAATTAATGCGGCGGTTTGTAGACTTTGGGCCAGGTAAGTCAGAACCAACAGCTTTTATGTAATATATAATATATAAAATACATAGTATAAGCAATATATAATATATAACATATATATATATCCTATCTCTTATGATCTATATAACATAACTTTAATATATTATATAATGTACTAACTATATAATATAAATAATATATATTATATTGCATGTATTATATTAATATTATTAGAACACACTAATATATTATATGAATAGATACTATCTGAATCATATAATATATACTATACTATACTAATTATAGATATTCTATACTATTACATAAATATTATAGTGTATCATTTGTTATGTATCATATATTCATATGATATATAACCTATGTATTATACATGATACATATTATATTTATATTCTATAATATCTTTTAGCTATGCATAATATAGTATATCTAATATAGACACACCAGCCTTGAGCACAGAAAGTTCGGGGACAGCTCCCAGGCCCTGAGTTCAAGTCCCAGGACCGGCACAAAACCAAAACCAAACCCAGAATGTGTTATCTGACTAAGATCTGCTTTTCAGCGTTGGGGGGGGGGGGTGTTGCAGTTTATACCAGAAACATATTCTCCTGCTGAAGTGAACCGAATGCCATCTTCCTAACAGTCACTACTCAAAATGCACGTCGGAGCCGCCCAGGCCCAGGCTTAGATAACGCACAGCAGAGAGTGGGCAGAATTGCTCTGCAGGGGTGCTGTGGGAAGCCATTTGCTCTCTGCCTCTCCGTCCACAAGCAAGGAGACCTGTATAATCATTCATCTGGAAAGGGAGCAATTATTGATCGCTATAAGTAGGGATTGGCTAAAATGGCACACATCCAGACAGGAGATTTCCCCCTTGTGATTAGTTATACGGTTATTAGCATGTAAATATTTCAAGCCTTCTGAGTTTTAATCGACACCCAACTGCAGTTCAAATGGTATTTAAGCCCGGGCACCGACTGAGGATCACGGTTCAAAGCCAGCCTGGGCAGGAAAAGTCTGTGAGACTCTGATCTCCAAGGGAACCACCAGAAACCGGAAGTGGCTCAAGTGGTAGAGCGCTGGCCTTGAGCTCAGGGACAGCAACTGGGTCCTGAGTTCAATCCAGGACTGACAATACAAGACAAACCCAGAGCATTTGGAAATGTCTACATTTCGCGGGAGTAGCTAGCAATCGTCCTTTTCTGGAATATGCAGGCTTCTCTATTACAGAGAGTTCTGGATATCAGAAGGGTTGACTTGAGATTTTTGCAATTTATGGTTGTGCAACAGTGACAGGCTTGCAGGAGAGAGCCGTACTTTGACCTCTGAATCTTTCTGAATCATGTGCTCGTGCATTGTTGGTGGATACTGGTTAGCTGTACAAGCGAGCTCATAATCCAGAGAATGGCAGTCCACTGTCAGACAAATGAGGCTCAATACCCACATTCTTCCCCAACACTAAACGTTGGCTTCACGACAACTCCACAACCCCAAATGCCAAGGCATTATGCCACTTAGAAAAATTAAAGAAAACCAGGGGCTGGGCAGGTGGCTCCGTGGTAGAGTGCTCGCCTAGCATGCATGAAGCCCTGGGTTCGATTCCTCAGGTCCCCACCTATACAGAAAAAGCCGGAAGCGAAGCTGTGGCTCAAGAGGTAGAGCGCCAGCCTTGAGCAAAAAGAAGCTCAGGGACAGCGCCCAGGCCCTGAGTTCAAGACCCAGGACTGGCTAAAATAAATACATAAATAAAAGCAAAAGAAAACTAGGAATTAGTCCATGGTGTGTTAAAAAAAAAGAGAGAGAGAGAGAGAGAAAGAAATGATTTTTCTTTTCCAGCAAAGAAGAGTGCATATCGCTCTGTGGAATACCGAATTTCCGATCCGAGAGCCGTGCATGCACGGAGATGGGGTGCTATCCGTAGGATCGCGGTCCGACCCTTGCCACTGACCTTGGTCCTTGCCCGTGGAGAGGCAGCGGTAGGTGATCATCCCGCCAGGTCCAGGCCTTCCTGCAGCCACATCCTGTCCATGGCTTCTGCCAGCTGCAGGACCAGCATGTCCTGACGCAAGTCGTCTCCCTGTCTGGCAAGAACAAAGCAGTACCTTCTGGGTTGTTCTAGAAGCTTCCCTTAAAAGCCTGCTCACAAGCCATTGTGATTTTTCCCTTGGATACATTTCCAACCTGACTTAACGTGATTCGGTTGACTTTTTTGACCTGTCCTGGGACTTGAACTCAGGGCCTGGGCGGTGTCCCTGAGCTCTTTTCACTCAAGGCTGGCGCTCTACCACTTGAGCCACAGCTCCACTGCTAGGTTTTCGGGTGGTTCATGGGAGATCAGAGTCTCACGGACTTTTCTGCCTGGGCTGGCTTTGAACTGCCGATCCTCTAGATCTCAGCCTCCTGAGTCCCTGGGATGGCAGGCGGGAGCCACTGGTACCTGGCAGAGCTGACTCTGGGCTTCAGGCTCCGTTTTCCTGCCTGGCCTGTCACTCCGTGAGCACTGCTCACTCTCCTTTCCCTCCTCGTGGCATTCTAGT